CCCTACTAGGGATGTGCCCGCAACCAAGGTACATGCCCTTGACCGGAATCGAACCTGGGACCCTCCAGTTCGCAGGCCGACGCTCTATCCACCGAGCCAAACCAGCTAGGGCGAGTCTTGCACACTTTGAACTCTAGAAGTCATCTATGTCAACAGGGTCTTCTTTCATTAAAGTTGCAGCTCACATTTGCATACCGCTTTACACTTTCCAGTTACCAGAAGAGGAAACTGCACTCTAGAAAGCGGTAACTAGTCTAGAATTTCACAGTGAGGTGGCAGCGTCCCTCGGGATTTCTCTATCAGCTCTCTTTTGCTAATCCTCCTTATCCTAATGGTTGAATGCATCTGAACTTCCAGGTTCTTTGGCAAGCTTTGATTTGTCCATCTGTGTCATTGCTTAAAAATTGGTGACTATTCTCCCATCTTCCAAGCTCCCTTTTCAAACTCTTACTTCTTCAGCTTCATATACAACTGTACAAGGTTTCATTCCTATACTAAGTCTTTTATTCCATAACTAGAGGCCAGGTGCATGAAATTCATGCACAAGCGGGGGGGGGGGGGGGGGGGGGGGGAAGGTCCCCTCAGCCCAGCCTGCACCCTCTCCGATCCGGACTTCGAACTATAAAAAAAAAGGATTAATTCTCAATACAAATATTTAAGAGCACAGGGAAGTCCATAATTTATTTTATTTTAAAAAGATCCCCTCTATAATGTTGTTAAAATAATATGACTTTTAGCCTGTATGGAGGGAAGGAGCTTAAGTTATGTAGAACATTCATTTATGTGAAACAGTGGCCATATCAGATAATAAGCTTTCTGGTGTTTAGGTAGAATTTAAGTTTTAGTCAATGTACTGGCCAAGTGCCAGGTGCTCAAGGAGTTCTTTAACTGAAACAGAGTCTGCATGTAAACCTTTCAGTGTTCTTAGAATACTGCCTGTTTCTCAAGGTTATCCAGGGGAAAGTTAAGTTCTTTCCAAAAGCCCTTCCCTCATTCCTCTGACCTTATCAAGGTTACTTTTTACCTCTCTTTGGTGGTCGGACATGATATGTTAAGTCATTAATGACCAGCTTAAAGTCATCAAGGAGAAGGAGGTCTATCCCTGTTGAGGCAGCAACTCGGACGCCATCTGTGAAAAAAGTTTAATGTGAAAATGTAAACTTGTCATATGTCCATAATTATTTAAGAATGGTCATGAAAAAGTAATCCTCAAAATAGATTTTAAGAATGATGTCTCTCTTAATTTCAGTTAACTTTTTGCCTCATCCTTAAGTCTATGCTAAACAAAGCTTATACTATTATCTGAGACTTTTTGTTTTCATGGCCTCAAGCCTGTGAAGATTTAACAACATATTTTTCTGGGAGAATTTTATGAAAGTGAAATAATTATATAGATCTATAGGTGTCAGTTGGAAATCTAGGGTCACTGGGAGAGCTGCACGGCCGTCTTATATTTGTCTATGATGGAAGGTGGGTGAGTAAAAAAACCACATTTTCCATTATGTGGTACTTTTCAGTGTGGTCACTGATTAGATGCCAATAATTCGTTAGGGATGAATGCTAGGGCTAGCCAAACACACCAAGCTGGTCTACTAGTTATACTACTACATGAATTGAGTATTAAGTATATCTAAAATATTTATAGCATAGAAATGTGGCAAATTGTAATAGCTGGTGAATTCAAGTGAAGGCTAAGTGGGTACTTATTGTACTAATGTGGATTTAAAATGTTTTAAAGTAAAAATTAGGAAAATATGTAAAGCACTTAAAAATAAATAAGTAAAATGGGTGTCATGTCAAATGGGAATTTTTGGTGCCTTATTTTATATTCTTTTCAAGTATACATGTTTTTATTTTGGTAAGTCTTTATATGAAAGACATAAGAAAATCTAAAAAGAAGTCCTAATATTTCATATCTCCAGAGATGAGGACTCAACCACTGGAAAAATTTATTCTACGCCTAAGGCAATGATGAAAGGTCTTAATAATATTCAGTGCCCACAGCATTATATGTGAGGTGCTTTTGAATGAGACTCCCTGTGTATATATATTTGTTAAAACTGAATAGTTATATTCTGAGAACCACTTTCTCTCCTGCTGACATTTGCTAAGCAAAGAAAGTTAAGAGTAAGAGATTCTTTTGCAGAAACTTGTGTGTGTGTTTGAATAATGAAGGTGACTGTACCTGGTGAGTAGATTGCAACTCGGTCAATTCCCCGATCCTCTTCTTGTAGTTGTCGTAAAAACACACCAACAGAGTCTGAGATAGGTTTGAGTGTGAATTGGCAGCGTTCACGCCGGGATGGTAGCCTCACAGATATCACAGGCAACCCATTTTGATACACCACTGTCACATCTGAATGAAAAAGACCCCCAATCATATGAAAGTTAGATTCATTATGTTACAGCTATATTCTTACCATTCTTATATGGGATCTGTTATTATCAGTGTGGTTTAAAATGTTTTCAAAGGTTTAAGAATATGTCCTTTAGCTTTAGTTGACAGTTATTCTGGGAATTAGAATCACACAACTCACTTTTCAGAAAAATAGAAACATGCAAAGGATTATCTTCTAAGTGGATCAAGGAAAAGCTTTCTCAGGAATTTGAGGTAAAGTTCTTGGTATTGCTGAAGAACTTTATCTGGTTCCGTTTATTAAGATTTTATGAAGTAGTCAGAGATTGCTAGCTGACTCCATAACCTGTAGGAGGTGGCTCTTGGGAGCCAGAGCTTTCAAGAAGCCCTGGGGAATTAATAATATTTTAAAGTACACCAATAAGGGAGATTCTTGCTCAAGGATACAACCCATATTTATAGTACAATATTATATCCAAGGTACTTGATAAGTAATCATTCTCTTACACAACATGGACATATTATGAAATAATAAAAAACAGTTTTTTTTATATTCTCCTGAACATCTTCCTGAGGTTAGTGAGAAGCCAAAGATGAACTATTTGGCATTTTCTAACAAAAAGTTAATAAAGAAGATATTATTATAAGCTATACAACTGGAAGGATTTTCTACATTAGTATTGCACAGAATTCCTTATTTCCTTATCTTTTTCCTCACTACTCTTGATTTGCAGAGCCTGTCATTAAAACAAATGTCAAAATAACTCAAAGTAATTTTCAAATGAATTTTTAAAAATAAATTAATTTTGAACCAGTATATATATGCAACCAAGTATTTAAAGATAAGTTAGCACCAAGGAAGGAAAACAGGTTTCAGAGTCAAATCTGGGCTGGAATTCTGGCTGTTAACTTTGGACATATTATATAACTTCTCTGATCCTCACTTTTTCATATATAAGCTGGGTTTAATCCCTAACTGATAGAGTTGTTATAAGGAATCCTATATAATAAAAGGCTAATATGCAAATCGACCAAATGGTGGAACGACCAGTCGCTATGATGCACACTGACCACGAGGGGGCAGACACTCAACGCAGGAGCTGCCCCCTGGTGGTCAGTGAGCTCCCATAGGAGGAGCGCCGCTCAGTCAGAAGCTGGGCTCACGGCTGGTGAACACAGCGGCGGTGGCGGGAGCCTCTCCCGCATGTGTAGCAATGCTAAGGATGTCCGACTGATGGCTTAGGCCCGTGGGGAGCGGGCCTAAGCCATCAGTCGGACATCCCCCGAGGGCTCCTGGACTGTGAGAGGGTGCAGGCTGGGCTGAGGGGACAACCCCCCCCACCCCCCGAGTGCACAAATTATGTGCACCGGGCCTCTAGTAAATAAAATAAACCAATTAAAACACTTAGCACACTGATTGATACATAGTGATATCATTGTCTCCTTTGCTTTTTTTTTTAAGAATCAAAAGGTACATTCTATAATGTTTCTAAGGATTCATATCCCTCGAAATTGATGAGTTGATAGGAAATGTATGTAGATTAAAGTTCTGGAGATCCCAAATGCATCAAAGTTTCCATAGTCATTTACACCTTATTTTCTTACCTATCTAGTAATTTATAAGGTCTACAACGTATACAAAAGCCTCATTCTAAATTCTTTCAGGACTTAAATTTTAAAGCAACCTTTATTAAGGCATAGCTTATAAATAAAAAAAATACACTTATTTTAAATGAATGTTTGATGAATTTTGACACAATAATAAAAATTCCCTTGAGCCCCATCCCAGTTAATCTCTGGGCAACCAGTTTTGATTTCTGTCACCGTATTTTTCTAGAGTTTCATAACACTAGAATCATATATTATATACACACTTTTAAAACCTGGCTTCTTTCTCTCAGCATGACTTTGATATTCATGTTGCTGTATGCATTAGTAGTTCATTCATTTTTATTGCTGATAGTATTTAACTGTATGGACACACTATAATTTATTTATCCATTCACCTATTGATTGTGGCATACATTTTATCATCATTTTACTTTTAACCTATCCATGTCTTCATACTTAATGTGGGTTTCCGCCCTGGCCAGTGTGGCTCATCCCATGCACTGAAAGGCTGCAGGTTTGATTCCTGGTCAGGGCACATGCCCAGGTTGTGGGCTTGACCCCCAGTAGGGAGATCTCCCTCCCTTTCACTTCCTGTCTTTAAAAAATATCAATAAAAATATTTTAAAAAATGTGGGTTTCCCTTACACAGGATATACTTAGGTCTAGCTATTTTATCCAATCTGACCACCTCTGCCTTTCAATTAAAGTGTGTATATTATTTGCATTTTATAAATTATAAGTATAGTTGGATATAAGTCCACCCACCATCTTGCTACTTAATTTCTTGACCCAACTGTTCTTCTACTTTTCCTATATTCTTGCCATCCATATTTTAGATTTAACTGAGGGTTGTTTTTTTTTAATTGATCTAAGAGAGAAAGGAAAGAAGGGAGGGAGGGGGAGAGAGATAGAAAGGAAGAGAGAGAGAGAAACATCAATGTGAGAGAGAAACATAGATCAGTCCATCACCCAATAGCGCCCTGACCAGGAATCAAACCCGCCATCTTTTGGTGTATGGGATGATGCTTCAACTGAGCCACATTGGCCAGGGGTTAATTGAGTATTTTTTATGATTATGTTTAATCTCTACTAATGGCTTATTACCTATACCTTCTCATGTTTTTAGGGGAGTTACTCTACAGCAGATGTTGGAAAACTTTTTCTGTAAAGAGCTAGGTAATAAATATTTTGGGCTCTGTTCCAACTACAGACTGCACTGTGGTACAAAAGCAGCCATAGGCAACACATAAACAAATGGGTATGGCTGTGTTCCAATAAACTTTTTCTTTTTTAAAAAAATATATTTTATTGATTTTTTTACAGAGAGGATGGGAGATAGAGAGTTAGAAACATCGATGAGAGAGAAATATTGGCCAGCTGCCTCCTGCACACCCCCTACCAGGGATGCGCCCTCAACCAAGGTACATGCCCTTGACCGGAATCGAACCTGGGACCCTTCAGTCCGCAGGCTGATGCTCTATCCACTGAGCCAAACCAACCAGGGCCCAATAAACTTTTTCTACAAAAATAAGCAGTGAGCAGGATTTGGCTTACTGGTTTGCTGAACCCTGTTCTATGGTTTACAATATACACCTTTAACTTATCACAGTTAATTTTCAAATAATTTCATGCCATTTTAGGTATAGTGTAGTGGATGCTACAACAATATACTTCCATTCCCCTTGCTTTGTAGTATCATATATTTTACTAGAGGCCTGGTGCATGAAATCGTGCACTGGGGGGCGGGGGCGGGGAGAGGTTCCCTCAGCCCAGTCTGCGCCCTCTCGCAGCCCGGGACCCCTCAGGGGATGTCTGTCTCGCAGTCTGGGACTCCTCACTCCTTATCGCCTGCCTGCTCACTCCTTACCACTTGGCTCGCTGCTCCTTAGTGCTGCCGTGGAGGCAAGAGAGGCTCCCGCCACCACTGCCACAGTTGTGAGCCTGGCTTTTGGCTGAGCAGCGCTCCCCCTAGGGGAGCGCACTGACCACAAAGGGGCAGTTCCTGCATTGAGTGTCTGCCCCCTGGTGGTCAGTGTGCATCATAGTGACTGGTTGCTCCGGTCGTTCCGCCATAACAGTTGCTTAGGCTTTTATTATATAGATGGAACTACCTGACAGTCAATGTGCCTCCCTCAGGGGCCCTGGATTGCGAGAGGGTGCAGGCCAGGCTGAGGGACCCCACCGGTGCACAATCGAGGCCGGGGAGGGACGTGGGAGGTTGGCCAGCCAGGGAGGGACTGCGGGAGGACTCCAAGGCGTGTCTGGCCCATCTCGCTCAGTCCCGATCGGCCAGACCCTAGCAACAAGCTAACCTACCAGTCAGAGCGTCTGCCCCCTGGTGGTCAGTGCACATCATAGCGACTGGTCAACCATTTGACTGTCTGCCCCCTGGTGGTCAGTGCACGTCATAGCAACTGGTCATCATAGCGAGGTGGTTGAGCGGCCTTAGCATATCATTAGCATATTAGGCTTTGATTGGTTGAACGGACAACCGTACGACCGGACACTTAGCATATTAGGCTTTTATTATATAGGATTTCTATATGTTATAGGCCATACAATACATTATTTTTGCTTTGATAAGTGATATTTTGAAGAAATTCTGAAATGAGGAAAAATCTCTTTTATTTTTACACAATATTCATCCCTTTTGTATCGATCCAAATTTCCATTTAGCATTATTTTTTGTTTGTTTGTTTGAAGGTCTTCCTCAAACATTTCTTGGTGTGCAGATGTTGCTGGCAACAAATTCTCTCAGCTTTGGCAAGTCAGAAAAAGGCTTTATTTCACCTTCGTTTTTGAAGAGAATTTTGCAAAAAATTCTACGTTGACAGATATTTTTTTCCTTTCAGCACTCTAAAGAACTATGTCTCCTGGTTTGCAGAGTATATATTTACCTTTGTTTCTCTGTATGCAATGTCTTTTTAACTCTGACTCCTTTTAATATTTTCTCTTTATCATTGGTTTTAAACAATTTTATTATAATTTTTCTTTCTATGGTATTCTTTATGATTATCTTGCATGTGAGTCATTATATTTCTTCAAATTTGGAAGAATTTGGCCATTATTCAAATATTTTTTTCTGTCTCCTACCCTTCTTCTTTTGGGGTTCTAGTTATACTTAATAATAGTGTAACTAATTTTATGATACAGGGCACCGAGGTGCTCTTCATATTTTTGTTTTTGTTTTTCCCCTCTCAGCTTCATTTTGGATAGTTTTAATTGTCATGAGCTTCAATATCACTGACCTTTTCTTCAGTAGTGTTTTATCTGCTGTCAATTCCATCTGCACTGTTTTTCACTTCAGACATATTTTTCATCTCTAGAAGTTCCACTTATTTTATTTTTATATCTTCTATTTCTCTTCATGTTATGCTTATGTTTTCTTT